GCTGAAGCACCTTGCTACTCATTCCTGTGCCCGGGATTAAAAAGGAGAGGTGGGGGAGTAGTTCCTAGGCTGTCTGGCTGTGCAAACCTCCAGTGTCCTCCCGGTGCAAGGAAGCAGGTGCCGGCATGGGGGAGAGAGTAGCAGGAGGAGAGGGTATGGACTCAGTAAGGCAGCATTGCTGGGAAAAGATATTCATCTAACCACTGCTTTAATGACGAAGGTAATGAAAGTATCTGCACTGTCAGTTCTGAAAAGGAAATGGAATAACTATAGTTGAATCTGCTGGAGAGTCTGTATTCGGAAATACCAGTAGGTGTTGCAAGGTGCTTCAGGTAATGGCACAGGTAGTTCCTCCAGACAAGATGCAGCTTTCTCCCAAAGCTGGGCTCTGATCCTTCAAATACTGATGCACAGATTATCTAAGTAGATTGCACAGACTCCGACTCCACTGGGACTGCTTCCATGCTTAGGTACGAGTGACTGCTGCAGGGAACACTAGGAATGTGGAAAGACATTACAAAGCAAGTGCCAGTTACTTCGGGCTGCAAAGGAAGCAGCGTCTGTAAAGCACTGTTTGTAACTGCTATAAAACTATCCAGTTCTGTTCCTTAATGTACTTCTGTTACAAACAATGTGTGGTCAGCATTTCATTATGTTGCAATGCGCTAGCCTCTCAGCTCTTGGGACTTCTACTGTCTGTTTCTTCCAAAAACTTCCAATCTGTAAGCAAAGGAAGATGCTACTTGAAAAGAACCAGGAACTGCGGAGAATATTTATTGGAATATATTATCCAACTAGCTGATAGCCCTTGCTACAGCGTGATATTATCAGCAATTTTAATGGTAATTTCTGGATAGGACTCAGACTACTTTAAAACTTAGACCCATGGGGCACCTTCTGTAAAGAGCTGGTTGGATGACTCTACTTGGAAAGACAGAGTAAAAATATTCCTTTCACTTTAAGATGTCTCAGACCATTGTACACAACTACCTAGGCTGGGGATCTTCAGTAGCAAAACTACTAATTTAATCCAAATATATTTGGGATCTTGTTTGACGTCCATTGTATTCCCTAGGAGTAGTTCCAGTGAGGGCAGTACAGATCTCCAGGTGATGCTGTCAGTGAGGTACTGGAGTGGTACATTTAAGATGCAGTGGATCTTGCACTTCAGAGTAGTTTTGCCACAAAACTAGAGCTCTAAGTGCATCTTTATCTCTTCAGATAAAGAATCCAGAAAGTATTTTTTTGTATTTAAATGTAAAAGGCAATTTAGCAATTGAGCATGTGAGGAAAAACTCTGTAGGATGCTTGTCTTGACAGAATTTCACTGCTGTTTCTTGTCTGTCAGCCTACATATAGAATATGTAATAACAATAAACAAACCTATTGTATACATTTTTCAGACTATTTTGGCCCAAATCAAGGTGCTATGATTACTTATATCAGGAAGCTGAAGCACTTCTGAAAAATTTTCCAGTTCAAGCTACAATTTCCTTTTATGAAGACTCGGATAGTGAAGATGATGAAGATGAACTGGAGCAAGATGCAAGAACGGAATCAGACTGCTGATGGCAGGAAAGGCCAATGTGACTTCTAAGACTTAATTTAAACTTAATATAAAAATGTATTATAGTATTTTTTAAGATAATTTATTTGTTTGTAAGTTATTCTTAATAAAACTGAAATGTTTTGTAATTTTATCTGAGTCTTTTTCCTTTGTTCTATTCCTGTCCCGTTTTAGACAGGGAAGGTATTAACTAGTATTTTTTTTATCTAAAGTCCTATATTTTGTAGACTATAACTTGGACACCAATTTTAGGAGCAGGGAATGGATGCCTTGCTTTAAAGGGCTCTATGGTTACGTGACTTCCTCAAGTTTGAGGACACAAGGAAAGCTTTTTCAGTGTGATTTAGCAGGCTTCATGCAGAAGTGTATCAAGAAATCATTAAGTATTCCAATGCTGTGCCTGCTGTTACAACGGAGTTTCAAACATGGAAAACAGAAACAGCACAGCTGTTTTCCAGATAGAGAGAAGGGTTCAAATCTACTCTAGTTCTTGCTTTTAAAGAAAGAGTTTGCCCTGGGGGGAAGCCCGCTCCCGCTTCGCAGCGGGACTCGCAGGGCCGAGGTAGCAGCAGGGCTGCCT